ATCTGTTCAAATCAAACGTGTTGCTGAAAATTAAATTTGCTCGTATCTATACAATTATAAATACTTAAATTACTTTTTAACTCCACATTTTAAAAGGCATACAATAAGTATCTATCGCTCTCATTTCTTTTTTACGTCCCTTCTTTTTTTATTTTTACTTTTACTTTTCATGGGACAGGATCAGGATGGGGAGTCACGCCCTGCCCAACTCCGCCAACCCGACGGGGTGATAGGGTAGGGCAAGAATTTTTACCATCACTAACCAGAGACGTAATCTAACCTTTTAAAAATATCACGAACCTATCATATTTCTAAATTTGAGGGTTCAATGCACTCCTGCCACATCTTGATCTATATATCATCTAAAATTAGGTTTATATACTTAAAATGCACTTATAAGGCAGACGATACAATTAATTGCAATTTAATTAGTTCAAAAGTTGACCATAAAATTTACTTATTTTGTTAAAAAATATTGAAATGATTAATATAGTACATTAACATAACATTCTATTATATAGCATGGTATTTATTTAGAGCCTGTTAGAGCCACATTATAATGAGAATGAGAATGAAAAATAGAATCGTTATGGGCCCCACACCAGAAATAGAAATTCAAAAATGATGGCTTGATGTGATGGATAACGATCATATTTTTCATTTTAATGAGATAAAAATATGACGCAAACAGGGGCTTAATAACCAATTTTGAAAGTGTATAACGTTTTAAAGAACTAACTTAACTATATTTTATATGAATTATAAAGTATGGGTTTATATTTAACATCTTATTTTAGTTTTAGCTAAGTTATATTTGAATTGTATAGCACACATCAACCACCAAGTGTCCACATCGAAAGTCATATGAGTTCTGTCATCCCACTCTGGACGACCTCAACAAATGAGTTCGACTAGTTAAATGTTTAAGAAGGATATTGAACTCGAATCAAGCAAATCTCATTCAAGGCACGGAATTTGTCTCCCAACCATCTAAACTAATCAATAAGAAAGAAGAAGGTGGAATAGGTGCCAAACATAAATTGCAATTTAATTAGTTCAAAAGTTGACCATAAAATTTACTTATTTTGTTAAAAAATATTGAAATGATTAATATAGTACATTGACATAACATTCTATTATATAGCATGGTATTTATTTAGAGCCTGTTTGAGCCACATTATAATGAGAATGAGAATGAAAAATAGAGCCGTTATGGGCCCCACACCAGAAATAGAAATTCAAAAATGATGGCTTGATGTGATGGATAACGATCATATTTTTCATTTTAATGAGATAAAAATATGACGCAAACAGGGGCTTAATAACCAATTTTGAAAGTGTATAACGTTTTAAAGAACTAACTTAACTATATTTTATATGAATTATAAAGTATGGGTTTATATTTAACATCTTATTTTAGTTTTAGCTAAGTTATATTTGAATTGTATAGCACACATCAACCACCAAGTGTCCACATTGAAAGTCATATGAGTTCAGTCATCCCACTCTGGACGACCTCAACAAATGAGTTCGACTAGTTAAATGTTTAAGAAGGATATTGAACTCGAATCAAGCAAATCTCATTCAAGGCACGGAATTTGTCTCCCAACCATCTAAACTAATCAATAAGAAAGAAGAAGGTGGAATAGGTGCCAAACATATGACCTAGGTTGTAACAACCTAAATCTTGGAACTCGAAATTAGTATAAAAACAATAGTGTTCCTTTTGTTTCTTTCAAAAATTCAAGTTAAATTAAAATTTTCTTAATTTTCTTTTAACTTTGTAGTTACCCTCTGCGTTCTATTACAAATTCTAAAATTTATTGGAAACAAATTATTCAAGGCAGATAACTTTGATTTGTTAAATAGCGAAGTTGAAACGAATCGTTAAAATGAATGTTATGTGCATTAAAGGATAAATTTTAGCAATGCGCTAACCAATGATCGAGCTTAGTTGGACCATTTATCAAATACATAATTTCATGAAATTTTTATAGTATTTTCTAAACTTATTCAAGTACAACATAGTAAAATTTTAGAATTTTCTAATATCATTTAGGCACTCAAATATGTGGGGGCAAAAAAAATTTTGTTTTCAAGTACACTAAACACAGTACACGAAAAATGGCACAACTTATTCTACTGACCTTCAGTTGACTTGACCAAAAGCCAAAGGATAGAGGACTTATAGGGCTTTTAAACTACACTAGTTTTTTTCCCAAAAATTGAAAGAATTCTGTTTGAAATGACGAGAAAAAGTTCAGCTAGTAAGCTGAATTTTTTTTGTTTACAAGTCTAACGTTTAATCTTAACTTTTTTAGAAACTTTTAATTATATGCATACTTCAACCAAATAATAATTTAAATGTTCACATCAAGAAGAAGATCTAGAAAATCTTAAAGAAAGATAAACTAACATTTTTAAAAAATCAAACGTAAGTTGTATAATTTGTAAGAACTAGTAACTATTCAAATGTGACTAATTACACAAATGAAGCATATTTTTCCCTCCAGATCTTCTACAATCGACTTAAATTCCACTTCCTCGACCATCCTTTAATCTGAAAATTTTGTCAACATAGAAGATGTGAACTTTAAGCTCAGTAAGACTAATATCACATTGTGCACCCTATTTGTCATAAACATATATACAAAGTCATAGGAAAGAATTTAACATTTTACATAGATGAATACTAGCAAATGTATGATTTCAAAGAATCCCTTGGGGTCATGTAAACCAATTATGATTATACATAAACTTCTAGTTTCAAAAATTCTTCCACATATCACAAGTATACATACATACATAATGAACAAAAAGGTAAATACTTAACACGACCTACCACCTTTGCTATTTCTTTAACCTTAACTTAAAATAAAAGATATTTCTCAAAGAACATTAAAGTAAATTTGAATTTGAGAAGACGTGTAATGAAAAAGTGACTTTCCTCTTCTTGTAATCTTCATTTTTAGTGAAAAGCTAAATGGGAGAGTTATATTATTATTAAGGGTAATTGTACAAAACGTCCTTATTTTTCAAGTTTATTGTGAAAAACGTCCTAACCTTTCATTTTTTGACATTTTTCACCCGTACCTTTTACATTTTTTTGCGCAGAATGTCATTTTCATTAGTTTTTGACAATTTTACCCTCCATTTAAATAAAATAAAAATAAAATAAAGAACTAATTGCAATAATAGTTCCAAATTTTCAAAAAAAAAAAATACAAATCGGTCACAATTTATTGTGAACTGAAAAATTTTAAAATTACCCAAAAAAATAAGGGAAACTTGAATGTACAGAGAAATAATTAAGAAATAGAGAAATTTTTGAACCATAGCCAATGAAATTGAAAATCTTCAAAAATGGGTAAGCGTAAATCTCAATTTTTATTCAGTGAAGAGTAAATGGAAGGTTTGAGGCAAAAATCACGTAATTTTCAAAAATTTTCATTTCCATTGGTTATGATTCAAAAAAATTTCTCAATTTCCTGATTATTTCCCTGTACATTCAAGTTTCTTTTCTCTATTTAATTTTAAAATTTTTTAGTTCACAATAAATTATAACTGATTTATAATTTTAAAAAAATTTTGGTATTATAATTGCAATTAATTCTTTATTTTTTTTTCTTTTCTTTTCTTTTTGCTTTATTTCAATGGAGAGTAAAATCGTCAAAATGACCTTCTGTACAAAGAAATGTGGAATGTATGGGCAAAAATGTCAAAAAATGAAAGATAAGCATGTTTTCAACAATAAACTTGAAAGGTATGGACGTTTTGTACCAATTACCCTATTATTATTAACTTTGTTAAATTGAGTATTTAACTAGGAATTTAAAGAGTTTTAAGCTCATAAAGAAAATAATTCTTATAAAATTTTATATAAAACAGTTACCTAATGAAAAATAGAGGAAATGAACTATTCATGTGATTTATAACCTATCTCTATAAATGCCCACTAATAAAATATTTATTTCATCAAGTTAACTTTATATAATTTTCTTCATGTGCAAAATGAGGAGTTTTAACTCAAAAATAATTTTATAAAAAATTCTACATATGATTCGAACGTGGATTGCCTACATGAAATACCATGTAGATGATCATTGTCACAGTCCAATTATTTATTAAATATTTGTAATCAAATTTACTTAAACCTACTTAGCATTACGTTAGACCTCCCTTGATAGCTCAATCCTGAACATAATAAAATTCAAGGAAGCATGTGGTTGAATAATTGATAAAGTTATGAATCTCTTAAAATATGTCGATAAAAATGAGTTCAAGAAATAAATTTTAAGAAATGGGAGTCTATTGGGGGGCTTAAATTGCCTTCTAACGTTCAAGGATGGTGTTCAAGCATCGTGAGAGAGACTTTCATAGCGTAAGATGAGATAGCATAATGGACAAATATATCACTTAGGGTCCGTTTAATTGCAAGAATAAAATTTAGGTGAAAAGAAAATGAATTCCAGAAAATTAAATTGCCTAAAACTTGTTATATTAAAAATTGTCAATTAAATGTGTTTGATTGGTATAATTTTCCACCTAGAAAATATTGCAATTTTGGATCTTTTAGTGTTCATTTGATTTTGTTTTCCATAAAAATTGTCAATTAAAGGAATAGAATTTGTTACAATTGTCAATATATATATATATATATATAAACCAAACAAAAAACCACCAAACTCATGAGAAAACCAATTCTCCAAAGAGGGGGAAAACGGGAGTTGCCAAGAAAACCAATTGCCAAGAAAATTTGGCCAATGAAACATGCAAAAATGTGAAAAATAGAATTTAATTTCCTACTTCCCTAGAAAATCAGTGCAATCAAACAGGGCCTTATTTACCTTCTTTAATCGCGTTATTCTTGTCCAATTCCAAGCTTCAAATGTTTCCTAATCTTGCTTCTCATAATTTTCATAAAAATACGAACTAATTTCTATCGAATCTACTATCATATTATGTTAGAACCTCACAAGTAAAGAGATGAATGCAAGGGCTAATGAAATTTTCAATTGCCATTAAAACCACATTCAACAATTGAAATTTAATGTAGAGATTTGTAAAGTATTCAAACATGAATGAGTTGAGAGTTCTGCAACTGTGTCAGTGTGGAAAATAGAATAAAGTTCACTTAATACAATTGAAATTTGGCCTTCGTTTTCTCGAACACCTGCTCTGCTATGATGGCCTCTTTACCATCTGCTCTCTTGATCTCCAAATTAGCCTTCTGATAAAACCCAGTACCTCTCAGTGCATCTGCAATAAAATCATCAAATCCGATGGCAATGGCAGCTTCCGCTTTGGCTCCATATACCAACCTCTGGTTGAAAAAGCAAACAGAAGAAAACACAGGGAACATGATTCAACCAAATACTTAAAGCTCCAAGGACATGTTTGGTATGCAATATTTAAAAGGCTTGTATGATTCTCTTTTTTCTTCCCTTAATATTGTCCTGCACTAGCCAATTCAACTTATCAAACATGTCATTATGGTTGATAAAGATGATAGCATGAAATAAAGAAGGCGATTCAGTGACTAAACCTTAATTCTTGAGAGATGGATGGCACCAAAGCACATAGGACATGGCTCACACGAAGCATAGATTTCACAATCAGAGAGCTCGATTTTGTTTAGCTTTTTACATGCCTGGAGATGGATCCATTGTGAACATGAGATGACATTTTAAAGAGTGATAACGATAAAAATCAGCAAAGCATAAACTCGGGCAGTAAATAGATGACATTTTTGCATATGAAAAACATTGATCATCAAATGCAGGGTTAGACAACATTCAATTCTCTCATATAACTTAAACAATTAAGAGCACGGCAGCAACCAACATAGCAATTGCAACATCGGACAGGAGATTATATCCTTTTGACATTATAAACATTTATCCGTTAAACCTAGATCCCCATATTTCCCTTGAAGGAAAAACAAAGAAAAAGAAAAAATATTTGAAGGCCTTTCGTTTCTTCTAATTCTCCATCTAGATAACTTTTCTTCTAGCTACTAATTGAAGAAAAGGCATCCTTCTTATCATTACAAGCTTATAACTTGCCCAAAACTGGAGAGTATTTATTTACGTAGAGCACAATTTTGTCAAGCTTCCTCCAGGCTCAAAGTTTATTCTCATCTCTATATGAGCATCCACAAAAACATATAGAGCACCAAAATTATTCAAAATGAACTAATCATAAACCTAATGCCGGACACACTACTCTATTGTAAGTATATAACAGGAAGACGAAGGACTTGCCACAAAAAATTTCAATGATTTATTTTATACAACATTTTTAGCAAAAATGAAAACTGGAGAACTTCAAATATGGGATACATGCAAAAGCTCTATTGGGCCTTTTCTGCAAATGAACTGTTGATTTAAGGGTTACTTTTTTAATCAGTTTGGTGATAACATTTATACAAGGATGGGTCTGATTCAACCATTGGATCCCCAGTTCCAGAAAGTACAATGTGCTAGGTGCCCTTGGTGTTATATTATCTTAGACATGACGCCAAAAGAAACCACAAAAATCAAATAAGTTGTGAATCAGGAATTACAAAATAGACAGGAAAACAGGCTTTCATCTTGGTGAACACTGAATATCAAGATAAGTTGAGAAAAAATAGTATCCACATTGCAGTTTTTCATAAAACATCAAACATGACAGGCAACAGGAGTTTGTCAAAGTGCACAAATTATGGAGAACTAGATGTCAAATAATCAGTTCCAACAATTGCCCTAAACTATGATAAGATAATGTAGTCCAGCACTAGCAGAAATCAGTCCGACAATAGTCTAGAAAAAAATACATAAATGAGCAAATGGTAGCTGTTAACATACAAGACCATCAAATGATAACAAAAAATATGTCAACAATAAAAGAGAGAGTTAGTGCCATGCTTCCATTTTAAACATGGGTACGGCATATAGCAATTCGCTAACAGTCATCCATCCAAAAAATCGGGAAAATTAGCAGATTGAATCCCAAAAAAGTTTAATACTTTCTCACAACATAACAAAAAATGTATGAAGTATCATACAACAGTCTGTATATTGTTCAGCTGCCTAAAATTGCAATTCCACTCTTTCTAGAAAAATCCAGCCACTAGATGTAACAATCATTTGTCATAACTACCTGGTGGATGTAAACCCACAATATTCAGATGCACATTTGACTATTCTGGAGAACACTTCGATCACAAAAACTCTGAAGAACAATTACCTCCTGAAAGACATTTGAACTTTAAATAATTCAGACAATTCTAACCTCTCTTATTGCTGTAACCTCAGCATGAGCAGTAGGGTCAGTGTGCTTCAAAACCATATTGTGACAGCTTACAATAACTTCATCATCACGAACAACAACTGCACCGAAAGGACCTCCATTTCCACAGTCCACTCCTCTGTAGGCTTCTTCAACAGCCTTTGTCAAGAATTTGTGGTCTCTATCTTGAACAGCTGCAACAATCACAAAAGTAGATAAATATGATTACTATTAATTTATGACTGCAAGTTTTAACAAAACATAGCATGGTTCAAGAAGTGAAATTTTAAGTATGACATCAAAAGAAGAAACGTGAACCCCGAGGGGTAGCTCAATGGTCAGATCTTAGGTTTATTCCCCAATGGTCACCAGTTCGAGTTCTCTCAAGGTCACTGAGGTAAGTACCCAACTGTAAATTTCAGAGTCCCGTGAGATTAGTCGAGATACACGTAAGTTGGCCCAAACACCCACGATCATAAGAAAAATAAAAAAAGAAGAAAAGTGCAGACAGGATATCAATTAACCAAAAGTACATCTAAAGGTGCTATTTCAAATTGCATCTGTGACTAACAAAGCCAATTTAATTGTTCGCAGCAAATACCGAGAAGCATTATATACAAAAAGGAAAAATGGAAAGAGAAAAAAGAATAATAGCATGGTTCAAGAAGTGAAATTTTAAGTATGACATCAAAAGAAGAAACGTGAACCCCGAGGGGTAGCTCAATGGTCAGATCTTGGATTTATTCCCCAATGGTCACCAGTTCGAGTTCTCTCAAGGTCACTGAGGTAAGTACCCAACTGTAAATTTCAGAGTCCCGTGAGATTAGTCGAGATGCACGTAAGTTGGCCCAAACACCCACGATCATAAGAAAAATAAAAAAAGAAGAAAAGTGCAGACACGATATCAATTAACCAAAAGTACATCTAAAGGTGCTATTTCAAATTGCATCTGTGACTAACAAAGCCAATTTAATTGTTCGCAGCAAATACCGAGAAGCATTATATACAAAAAGGAAAAATGGAAAGAGAAAAAAGAATAACGTTGAATGTAAAACAGAAGACAACATATTCGGATGACTATCTCACTAGTTTACTCAATTCAATAAGAGATTGTCCTGACTAAGTCAAATTAGCTTCTCAAGCTGTGTTCCCCAATTTGCTCAATCCACGCCTATTTCTCCCTTTTATGAACCACGCCATTGGACACTTTTTTAATATCTTAATCAGTCGATTCTAATCTTTATCTGTCCCTATTCCTATGATAAATAGACATCGCATCTCTTCTTATGGGAGCACTAAGAAGTGAGAGGCCCCATTCCATGTAAAACAATCTTCTTATGGACTGGTATCAGTTTGAAGACCTGGAAACAATCTTTTCAGATACATCCTATGGAGGCTACATTTGCCCGGTAACATGTGGGATTGTTTTCTCTTGACGACATGATCTTGGCCTCGAATCCATTAATGGGAATGTAAATAAACAACGAAAGATTAGCAACTTGACCGGTAAAAAGGAATTTCTCATGTATCCCTATCAACTTCAAATGAAAATACAGCACATGGTTGCTAAAAAAAAAAAAAAAAACTTATTGCATTCCCATAAGAAACGGAAAAGACTAATTCAAAACAAGAAATTGAGGTTACCTTCCTGGTGACCAGCAAATGCGGAAGCAACAGAAATAGTTCCATCTATAGCTTCAACAACTGATATAAGAACAAGAAGAGTTAGATAAATTTTTAAGATGACAAAAATAAGCACTAAATTCTAATCAGAATATAGTAGACCCACAAAATAAAATCAATAAAATACGAGCAGAAACTTCAATCTAACTAAGCAATAGGGATTTCAAACAGCTTTAGAGAGTTTAAATCACAGCTTTACAGAGCATGCACGAAGTACACCTTTTACAGCTTTTGAGCACAATTAATGTGGCATTACAAGCGAGGCAAATAGCTAATTCTCCAAATTACGTAGTTTGCTGTGGTAAATTACCTATCTAAGATCAAATCTGACTAGTCTGATGAGCAAAATAGTGAAATATCATATTAGCATATTCCTCTAGTGCAATCAAATCATAAGCACTCATATAATGGATCATAACTAGTTTCCAACTATATGCTAGAACTAAATCCAAGACGATCCCTAATTTGCACAACAATCTCATCAGTAATCACTAAGCAAAATGCCGCTGCATTAATGTCTATCAAATTGCACAATGTCATTATTGACTTCCCTGTTGCCTTAATCTAAGCCTGGAGACCTAGGTGGAGATGTCAAAGGGGCTTCTTACTTCCCAAATAGATCCTCCTCCATCTATCCATAAACGCTGGTTTTTCTTGCTCACTTGCCAGCCATAGACTTTTACTAAGCAAAAGCAGGGGCTAACTCCACCGATGCGGTAACGTCGGCATATAAATCATTATTGGGTGGTGTTGGGAGATAATGAGATTCCATCTAAAATCAAAATTGTGCTTTATTTCAGTAAGCCCATTATCTTTTTATTGTTAATTCAGCATCTATTTGAATTGTCCTCTCAAATTTTCAATTCGATTGCATGTAACTCGCATAAAAAACCATACACCTAATTATTGGATCTAGAATAATTATATAGCATTCGATCTGAAAAAGGAATTGTGAATCCGCTGTTCTATGTAATTCATGAATACATTTCAAATTTAGACTTCATGTGAACAAGAATAAATGAGTCTTACGCCTGTATAAAAAGGGAAAAGCTACTGTAAGGAGCTATTGTAAAAGAAACAATTGACAGAGAATTATAAAATTTTCCACTTAGAATTTGATACGTTTGAATCAACAATTTCTTCTGGATCCGAGTTCAATAGCCTAATCGTGCTGAACAGAAAGGTCCACTAATCAATATGACCTACTTCTGCAGTAAAATTGAATTCATTTTCATATAAAAAATACCCAAAAAGGGATTAGATCCTCAAACGATATAAGAAAGAGAATATTCCATTCCATCTGAAAATTCCAAAAGAAAAAGATCAAATCATCTTGCACATCACCATCGCCCACTAATATAATAATACTTTTGACACGGAAAAAAAATCAATCACATTCCACAATAAGACAAAAAGAAAATTAATGTATATTCACTAACACTTCAATCAAAATAGTAATGAAAAAAATTAAGAAATTCCTTCCTTACCATTAGCTTCTTCCATGACGAGAGTAAAATTCAACAATTGGGTACCGTAGAAATGGATCTGATGAGAAAAGTGAGCAAGAGAAAACTGATAGGTCAGCGTCTCTATCTTATATAAAAATGTATGTACAGAGTCGGTAGCATATGCGCGTGTCGGGGAGAGATGAGCCGAAAGGACAACTGTTCATTGACAAAGTGAAATTTGCATGGATTCTTAAATTGCCTTTTTCCAAAAAAATGTGCTAAATCCAACAATCTGCGGACAGGATTCAGCGGCATTTGGAAAATGTTGTAAATGCGTCCATTAATTCTATGCCCTTCGAGCCTCATTCTTTGAAAAAACAAGTTATTTTAAACCATATTTTGAAATTATTTCAATCACAAATTCTTCAATAAATTAATAATATAAGTAAATTTAAAATTTTTCCTTACTTTTTAACCACACATTTTCCATCAATACACTATTTAAAAATACATTTTTCTCCCAAAAGAAATGGGGGCTCAATCAAGGGCTATAAATTATTTGTAAGTTAGTAACCTTCCATCTATTTGTCCACCGTAAAATCGCAACCCCTCGAATTTTAAGCTACTCAAATAATGACATTTCAAATAGATTAATTCTCTTTGGCTCTATTAGGTTACAACCTCAATTTAAGTGACATTAACGTGTCATTAAATTATAAATGAAATTAAATAAATCATTTAATTTCAAATTCCATTCTTTCTATCATCTAACGCCAAACTTCAGTGGCGCTACATAGCATTATTTTTTCTAATATGAGTCAATGAGCAAAAGCAATGAATGTATGAACAAATTCACTCGACAACCACAGTGTCAAAATCTGAGTAGATGATTCTATCACGTGTACATATAGGACCATCCAGGTGAGCAAAGACGAATTTAGGTGAGCTTGAGCGATAGCTAGATAGCCACTCTAAGTGGGGTTGGGGGGAGAAAAAAAAAATCCGTCAGCACGAGCAACAGCAGGGACTCTCCAGGTTCTGGCTCACCCCTGATCAACATCTACTTACTCCCCTAACTTTTAATCTCAGAGATTATATATATATTGTAAAGAATGATTGTAAGTGTTTATATGTATTGTAATTTGTAATGAATACGTGAAGAACAGTTTTGCCTCTGCACATACATAATTTTGCCCTTTATAACGAAATGAAGCATTGTTAGCTCAAAGTATTGGAAAAGTGCTGCAATTCTGTACACCTCACATTTTGTGAAGTTATTAACAAAAATTTAAAAGCCCCTAGTCAAAACATGAAAGAAGCTGTCCTCTCACAGAGGCCTCAACAAAGGGTAATCTTCAAGTAATTCTTGTTCCGATAAAGCGTCATTTTCGTTCTGGGGAGTCCATAACACCTCGACTGCCTGCAAGTAGACAATTATAGATGAGACATGGGAAGAAATGAAAATTAAAATCAACGAGGTGTCGAGTTTCAAGACCAACCAATGTTTTGCTTGAGGGGATAGAGCCGAGTTTTTGTAAGGCTTCCTTCAAATCTCTACTGTTATTGATAGATGGCAGTTTATGTACTCCTTCAGCAGCCACCAATACTGTGATCTGAAATCATAAATATTCGCAAACAGTGATAATCAGAAACAAATTGAGAAAAAATGTTGTACAACAAACAGTTACATTGCTCGTATCTCATTGTAGTGTTTGCCAAGAACAGAATTACCGGTTAACATCATATGCTTTAACCAAAAATAAGATGTAAGCTAACCTGACTACCTTCCTTATCAGAAAAGAGCTAAAATAAAATAGGTTTGATCTTCAGGGAAGGTTCCAAATTGAGCAACTTTAAAAAACAAACAGTTCAACTTCTAATCAAAACACATCAGATACAAATCTGGATGCCGTTTGCAAAAATGATGTTCCAAATGGTTTTTTTATTGTGATTGATGCGTGAATGGGAACGGGTTACAATAATTATTCCGGCCAAAACATGAACATGGAAAACATTTGTGACAATTTGTAAAGATAGATGCCAACTGAAAATAGAACTTCAAAAGCATAGACTTCTCTATCCAATTCAAGGATAAGATCTAAAAGGTGTTTGTGTAAGGTGGACTTGACAATAGACGACAATATTAAGGAAAAAAGTAAGTTAAAATCTTTTCCATTGTAGTGTTCACTCCTGCCCACACTATGCACAAAACATGTTATCAAAGCTTTTACTCGAGCATAAGATTGACCGTTAAGCATCAGCTTACAACAAACATTAAACATTTCACCAAAAGCTTATACTTGAGTATTAAATTGACCATTAAGCATCATCTTATCACAAACTAGCTATAATACCTTAGATCAAACAAGTAAAAACTGGATAATTATATGTTCGTCATCATTTTGCAAGTTCTTACGTGACTCAACCAAGTAATTGCAAGACCCAGAAGGCTTATCGATATTTGCAAAGGAAAAAGGAAGCTCAACACTCAGGCACTCTATTTTGTGGAATAACAATGTTATGGCTTGCAAAGGCAATCAGTAAAACCAAAGGCAGCTACAAAATGAGATGCATTTTAACTGGATTCATTTGATGGCCGTAATCATAAATGCCTTGACTATCTAACACCAGCTGCATGGATCCAGTTTTCCCCATCTCGATCATCTAGGATCCACTCACCTCCAATAATAATAATTTGGAGTCTGAAAAGTAGCCTTACCACTATGTATTCATTGCTAAAACCAGTTGATCTCTGGCTTGTTGTACTTTTCTTCTTTATGTTATTCACATTAACAAATGTCTCCTCATCAAATTTACCACGTTCTTCAATAGAAAGTTGATTGAATCTTTTTTCTCCTTCCTCAGGGCTCCTTTTCACGTCAACCTGCATTTGACGTGGCAAAAATAAAGTAAGTTTTATGTACAGCAATCCTAATCAAAAGGGTTCACACTGCACGCTAAATTTATAAGATAATGTTCTTCAATGTTACGCACAAGTCCAGTTTCAAAAGAAATGGTAAGAATAAGCAACAAATCTGAATTAGGGAACATTAGACATTAAGAGCGTGGATGCCAGGACATGTTTATTCCCAAGAAAGGAACCTTTGCTACGGGAGAATGCTGTAAGTGCTCATGACAGAAGAAAAACTATAAAACAATCTTTATCGTGGTCAGATCATAGAACCAAATCAGAAGAACCGCATCTTAAGTATGCTCACTTCTATCCTCCTCAGTCACATACAACTTGGGTATCAAAGAACTGTTGCAACCATATTATAGATCAAATCCTAACCATATTTATAGTGGAATAAAATCAACTCGACTAGTAATGGTCAACCATCAGATCATTATTTCATTTTATCGACTTGTTGAAAGTTGAAATATTGCTCTGGTAATGATTAATTATCAAAGTATTAGACGTAGGAGGTTGTATTCCTTTCATTTTACTACTATTATTCTAATTAATTTTAAGTATTTTCAACATACACCTTTAGAGGGTGTTTGGTGGGATTAAGATTAGATTTTTTTAGTAGATTGTGATAGAAGTTTTTGAAATGTGTGGTTGAAAAATTGTAAAACCTATGAAAGATGTGATTAATATTAATTATTTGACTTTGACTTAGAAAAAAATCTGATTTTAATCCAAACCAAACAGGCTAGAAAGTTGAAAAGAAATTCTTGTGTGAGTGTATATTATATAAATACAAACACAAAATCATTAGAATATACCTATACAAAAAAATAAAAACATCTTGGCATGCAAGATACAATGAACAAAATTTAGCATTATTGTAACTAACTGTATACCAATTCGAACGTTTAGTTTATCTTTAAAAATAGAATATAAGCCCCCGTTTGGCCCCCATTATTGCCAAATTTTAATGGTTGTAATAGTATTTTTTTGAATAATGTGTGGTTGACAAAAAATGAAAAGTTTTTATTTGCGTGTAATATTATTTTATGAAAAATTTTGTGGTTGAAAATAAGAGAGAGAAAAAGAATGAGAATGGGGGCCAAACGGGGGCATAATTTTACAAAGAGTGCAATAAGTAACTTTTTGATGTTAGTAAGTTGATTTTCATAAATAGATATACGTAGGGGTGAAAATGCATCAAAGAGTGAGATGAATAGGACAATATGAGGTACACAGAAATATTAAGGGCCTGTTTGGGAGGAATTTTTTACCCAAAAAAATTGATTTTTTGACCGTTATTTCACTATTCCATCCGTAATTTTTGACTTCTTCTCTCACGGTGGACCCCACTTTTCTTCTAACGGTCAAAAAATCAATTCTCAAAATCTCTCCCAAACGGGGCCTAAATTTATAATGCTAGCTTGTGTCATTATATTTATATAATAGTCAAAATATGAACCGTGATTATATTTATGAATGCGATGCAGTGTTAACTTGTAGTATTGTTTAAACTTTAGTTAATGCCATATGAAGACCTCAAGCATTGTGAATGATCAACAGCTGATCATATATGGCCATGCCAAAGAACATCACATCACGAATACAAGACTAATCCAGCCTAAAATTTGAGGAAATGAGGGAGATAAAATATGTCATCATTACAGTCTGAAGTTTCAGTAGCAGCTCCTACACTATATAATATAATGAGTTTACAAAATAAAACATATAGAGTTACACAAGACAGTGAATGTGTTTCAACTTACAGATGAATAGGCAGAGATGCAATAATCAGGATGCCGAAGCAAAGCTAGCATTGTCTCTGCAACCAAAATTTAAACCATTTAGTTACAGAATGATGAAGAAAGAAATTACAATAGTGATATACAACTTGCATAAGGGGAGAAGTGTCAAGTTGATGTAATAAATTGGCTGAATTGAAACCCAGGATCATTAAAGAGCATGTTTAATGTTAATATTTTCTAATTCCTACTTCAAACCAGGGGAAAAAATGAATCATAATGCTTTCTGATGTCATATTTTGTACATTTAACCCAAAAGACGTCATCCAAATATAACATTACATGTTATATGGGTGCTTTTTTAAAGTTTTATATAAATCTTTCCAAATTTTAATACTTAGGCTTCAAAACTTGAATAATCAGCTGTGAGTAATTAAAAATTATCACGAAAGCATCATATGATAATTGTTCTCTTTTTAATAGAAAAGAGAGTTTTATCTGGAGACAAACAATAAGATGTGAAGTAAAATCGACAAGTCCTCACCAAAAGCCTGAAATTAAGAATGCAAATAAAACAGTCAAGAAAGCTTCTCATCTCCTTGCAATCAGTCAGGCCACAAAATACTTGTGCATTTTAGTCTATGGTGATCATACACAGTAACACATAACTGCATTTGGTCCACTGGAAAACTTGCTATTGAAAAATTACAGCATTTTCTTCAACCAAATGCACCAAGTAATAGCCAGCAAAGCACACCATTAACATGTCTTACCATCTCATATTCCTTAAATGACTAAAGCATCATTCAAGTAATGAGGGGATATTATTGTTTATCAGGATTGTCAATAAAAAGCATTAAATCTGATAGCGCAAAGTCTCAACCCAAACATTCAGGGCCACTCTCTGTTTATCTTTTATTCCCTTCCCCGCCATTCTCTAGACTACACTACCCCAAATTACACATGACAGTAACCTACATGTTATATATTTGCAAAGCACATAACTGCATTGACAATTGAAATCATGGACTTGTTTAACAATGATAAGAAACTTTTTTCTTGGCTTCTCCTTTTTGTTTGTTTTTTACTAGCAAGCAAGATTGAATTCTTAAGAGGATTCTTGCAATTTATATTACGGGGTGAATACATTACCTATTGTTCTTGTTTAGCATCAAGAATGAGAAAATCTTCCACAAAGGTGACTCTACCTCTAAAATATTATAACATAAAAGAACATAGGTAAGTCATCAAAATATGAAAACACAACCTTTTGATTGCAAATTTGATAAACTGTTTAAATCTTTTGGGAGTTTTTTACTACAAGAACACTTCTCAAAAAGCACAAAACATACGTAGCACAGAAGAAAATTTAAAAAGTAAATGTGTGACATCTGCACGATAAACATCTTTTTCAAGATCATCAAAATCAATAGAAATGTCTCTAAGAGAATTTTTCTATTACTATTTTTGGGATATATGCATTATCAAGTTTTATAATGGCCATGATATCATGTAAAACATTAAAGTTCATGAATATTTCAGTGCCATCTTTCGATAACATTTCTAATCTAATCTAGAGTGAAGCACCTCATCTTATGTCCACCACCTAAAAGCAAAAGCTAAACTGATAAACTAATTATTAAAAATCATATGATAAGAACATTACCTGTCAATACATAATGTAGGCCTTCTGAGCTGGATGTATCCGCATTTTCAGCTATTCGGTTGAGATCCGTTTGGAGTGATCTCCCCATGCCCAACAACCCAACCTTCAGTGATAATAATCCAAAAAAAAAAATAGTATAAAAAATGAATAAAACAATGGAAACAAACAAGAAAATGAACCAATTGTACAAAAGTTTTGTGAATGCCTAAAAAAGGGTCTCAACTGAATTTAAAACCACCCACGAGTACATGAAACGGTTTGGATTTGCTTCTTTCTAAAATAAATTACTTAAAATCTTCGACTGAGGCCACCAATCAACATGTTAGTTTCCTAGTGTTACCAAAATTATTTCCTTTGTATGTGATCCAAATAACCTAGCTTCTCAAAGCACATTTCATTCATAATTCTTCCTTCCACATTCCATCTTACCTCCTCACAGTCTATCCTCGTATTAATTGGTGAGTGCCCATTTAAAATTTCTATATCAAGGTCTACCCATCAATATATTCAGCCATGCAAGACCCTTTACACATCTAGTTCCTCCAATTTTTTCCTTTTCTCTTGTAGTTATTAATAAGTACCTTAATATTGGAACTATCACCACATAGTGTATCAGAGCTTCCACAATTCAACAATTTATCATAAAAAGTGTTACAATACTGCAAGCCGATATAAACTTAAAGAAATGAACTCCGACTACACTTTATCCACCAGTAATATTCAAATGAATTCAAGTTTATGGACCAGAATTTTACCTGCAGCTTGAGCACACTTGTTTTCTCAGTGGCAGTGAGCACACCACCCTCAGACCGGTCAGATAAGAATCCAGAGGCCAAAACAAAAACTGCGAAACCCATTATTATCATGAATAGACTCGACCCACCCACGGCAGATCCTACATAAACCCCTCCAAAGGGAGATGGTCCGTAATACGGCGCAGAATATGAGAAACCAGAACCCGACCCCATCCTCGGCACACTATAACTCCTTGACGACGACATTGATGACCTCGACGAGAATGAACTTCCACCCACCCTTCCCCCCGAGGCTGCCAATGCAGAAAAGGGATCACACATCAATAATAACCCCACAAGAACAGCCGCCACTGCCGGTTTTTGCAAAGCCTTGAGTGCTTTTATTACGTTTGTGGCGACAATCTCTATTGGGTTTCTTTCTTTCTTTATCATTTCCGGGAACATTTCCTCATTTTTGAGGGTATCGTAATCGATGGTGCTAGCATTATTCTTGCTGCAATCGATCGAGAAAAGTTTCACCCGAAGTTGTTTGGAAATTTTCCGAAACTTGAAGCGGATAAACGGAGGGTGGAGGTGTTGAATTTTAGGGATTGTAGAGTGGGATAAAGGGTTCCATTTGAGGTTTGGTTCTTGTAGGAAAAGGGTCGCGATAGTGGCCATTAGCAGTTTGTGTGAATTGAGGAGGATGACTCGCAGTATTATGATTTGAGAATTATGGGGATAAGATGAGGAATGACAGTCGGTTGCATTCAGAGTTGAAGATATGTATGGTGGGAAATTTTCGTGGGCAATGGAAATGGAATGGTCTTCGTGCACAAGGACCCAGTTCTGTCTCAAATTAGGCAAAATTTGACAAAATATTGCATTCGTCCATCGTCCATCGTCCATCGTCCATCGTCCATTAGTATGCTGATTTTTCTATAATTATTAATTACTTTTTTCATACACATTTTCAATATATTCTCTAAAAAAATATAATTTTTCGTAAATTTTATGTTACCTGCCCATATTCTCTTCTTTTCATGTTCCCCATTTTCTTTACAATTTTATCAGTCAAATATTTTACATTCGTTAAAAAGTTGAAGAAACGTAACTCACCTACGTTTAAGTGGATATAATTTAGTCATTGTGGATCGAGAATGATACAAAAGTGAAATGATGGAGACGATACTGAATAAAAAATCAAGTAAAACAAGAACTTGCTACATCATGTACGAGTGAGGGACTGTATGTTGAAATTAGGGTGTGTTTGATTGACATGAAAAATATTACTTAGAAAAGAAAATATTTTCCATTTTTTGTGAAAAATAAAAACCAGCTCTACCCAAGGAAAATATTTTCCTTAAAAACAAGGAAAATTAGGCATATTTTCAAAAGTTGGAAAATGTTTTCCATGGAAAAAAATAGCAATCAAACACTCAAAGTGAAAATTTGGATGGCAAAATGATATTTTCCATGAAAAATAAATGTAATCAAACACACCCTTAGGTTTGAATTTGGTTAATTGGAGATTGATTTTTTTTTTTTTAAAGGTATTTTCAGATGTTTTTAACCAAACACTAATCTCATTTTAGTTTAGCTAAAAAAGTAGATGTCATGGTAAACAATAATTTTTAACAATAACTTTTATGGAGTTCACAAACTTTATCAATTTTTAACAATAGATTTTATCAAAATCTATTAAAAATGCAAGGTTAAACGAATCTCAATTATAATTACCTGGGATATGGAACTCGAGCAACCGTGGTCTACACATGAGGGCCTATACTAGCTACTCTATGTCATGTGCCTCCCATGAGAAAAAGAGACGAGGAATTAGCCACTCCTCTTTCTTGAGATGCATGATTTTTTTCTAGTCTCTCATCTTCTATCTTGTCTTTTCATTAGTCCGAAACGGTATCCACACCATCCACAAGTTGTTCTATGTGAATGTTTGAAATATTAATGATTGAAATCAAGAATTAAGCCACGTGCACAAATAAATTCCCAGCGAACAATATTTTTTTAAAAAGTTTACTTCTACCAAAACTGTGTTTTTCGAAGTTTGAAACTAATGATTCCAGCACCCTTAACACTACCACTCGCTACCTGCATACAAAGTATAGAAGCATAAAAAAAATATTGATGGACCCATTCCCCCATTGTAGCCACCCCTATCTCTACTTCTCCTATTAGTTTTTGCAAAACTTGCTATATCTTGATTTTTGACGTACCAAGAGTAGATTTATACTTCACGGAGGGAGATGAAGACGTAAGTGAAATTGATTGACTTGTACTAAAATTGATAGTTTGAGGACCTGAATGCAAACAATTGAATGGGATCCCAAGTGCTCTAGGAGTTAAATGTTTGGGGATCACACATGCAAATTTCTCTAATGTCAAAGACGTGGCGTCGATAATCGATTATCACGCTTCCCTTTTAAGGGTAAATGTATTTTTCACACCACATTATAATTACAATAAATATCTCTAGACTTTTCTTATTTTTACATTTATATTCTCAACTTTTTCATCTTTTTAATTTTTATCATTAACACTATTAATTTTCATATCTTGTTTATAGAGATGATATTCATCCAAAATATTTGCTATGAGGGCTAAATAGATATATTAATCTTTCATATTTTTAAATAACCGAAATAAAAACCAATACAAAAGTTAAAATAAAATATTTCCCATCTTTTCATTGGATGTTAGTAGAAAACAAAATATGTTAATTAATAAAATTAAGAATGACAATGCGACAAAAAAGTTGAGAAAATAAAAGTAAAAAAGAGCAAATATTGAAAATCTTTCTCGTATTTAAAATGTGGTGGAGACATAAAAAAATGGTATCGTTATTTGCATCCACAGTTTTTATATATACATCACATTCTATGTACATCCCTATATAAATATTAAAATTAAAAAAAGTTACTATTTTCATCTACGTTAAATTTCAATATTGTCCTTATGAATGGTTTATTCGATAGTGATTATGAAAATTGATTTTTTGACTATAAAAGAGAAAGGTGGGTCCCACATTTGAGTGAAGGAGTAAAAAATGACGGTTAGAATAATAAAATAATGATAAAAAATTAATTTTTGGGATGAAAATTTGCTACCAAACGGGGGCTAAATTCGTTCATTTAAACATTATAAGTCTGAACAAATTTTATATATTCATCTCACTATAAATACGTTCCTAATATAATTTCGAAAATTATTATATTCATCCAATCACTGTCGACATTTTATCTGGTTCTTACTTTTTATTTTCTATATTGTCATGTCGGTGCTTTATTGTTTAGTTATAAAAGTTAACAACTCTCTCTCTCTCTCTCTCTCTTTAAATTTATAGGATTCTCTAAAATATATGCTGCTCATGCAACTAGACAAATCTCTATTAATTAATTTTTTTGCTTATAAACTCATAATTTTGGTTGTTTATGTTTCGATTGATAATTTTAAATTTGTTTCCTTTTATAATGTAAGAATATTGGACAAGTATTAAAACTTATTTTGAAATTTCTCATATATTTTCATCTGTCAAATCAATACTTAAAAAAGCATAAAAATAAGATTCCATTTTTCATATCATTAAAAAATTATAGCTCTAATTATGTGTTGATTTTATTTATTTATTTTTTTTTTGAATTTTCATGGAAGAGGATATTTTATTATTAGGGGTTTGTGATTTTAGTTAAAGATGATGTTTTATGATTATTAAGGTTTTAGTCAAACACAAACTCTAAAAGAATATAAAAATGTTTAAAAGAATTTATGAAAATAAACATCATGTTATGATTTATGAAAAACGTGTTTAACATAATTCCAATATCTTTGAGTTGGTGAAGAGTAGTATCTTGCAAGGGAATTATAGAAAAAGCTATATTGGTTCAAGTGCAATTTACAATATAAGTCAATGCTCCAATTGCACTAAGATATGATACTTTAGGATCAAGAATCTTTTCTCCATATTCAAGTAGACGAAATTGATATTTTCTCACATCAAGTAATCAACCAACTATAGGTGATGTCAATGGATGTGCATTATCTATATAAAAGCTTTTTAAGACTTTTTTGTATAAGGAAATTGATGAACAAATAATCATTTTGGAAAATGTTCAATCTGTAATCCAAGACAATTTGATTCTTCCCAAATCTTTTATCTTAAATTCATTTTTCAAATAATATGCAGTTTTGTTGAGATCTTCAAAAGTTTCAATTAAATTTAAATCGTCAATATAAACTACCATAATTACAAATCCTATATCTATTTTATTTATGGAAATACATAGGCGGATATTGTCATTTTTATAATCTTCATTCAACAAATATTCGCTAAGGCGATTATACCATGTTGATAACCGAACTCCGATCTAAGCTAAAACAGTTCGCTGACCCCACCTCAGGCAAATGTAAGTTCGGTCCATGCTCCCAGGTCGGACAGTCCCGCCGTTATCTCAGAAAAACATCGTAATTACCCCCTGTCACATCACTCTATAAATTACATACACTTGCCGCAGGTGAGATCATCATCGCCCAAAATCGCCAATCCTAAGTCCTAAATCTGATACTCCTTGCAGTTCATCATTACCTGGGCAAAACATTGACACATGGCCACCAGCCTCGTCAACCAATCACAGGAAAATTCGGCGACCCGAGTTCCGAGCTCGGTACTGTAGTTGATTTGATGTAATTTCGGCTAAAACTATGTATAAATAGTTGAATATGACTCTTGTAAAAAGCAAGTGAATTCATATAACAACTCATAGCACAATTACACTTTCTCAACATATTTTGTGGTCTTTCTCAACAATGAATCCCCTTTTTCTTAAAGTTGGTTTAAGATTAGCCTTGTTAATTTTGACGTCAACAGTTTGGCGCTAGGAGGGCCCCAATTGTGAAAAATAGTCTTATTATGCCCCGAACTGAACCTACTTCAGCTGATGTGTGGAACACTTATACGAAGTGATTCCACTTCGGAAAGTCCACCACCACGTCAGCCGATGTGTGGGACATTCATACAAAGTGGTTCCGAAGTGGTCTCCCTAAGTGGTAATTCTGCAAGACTGGTCGAAGCGCCCCATCCCCCTGAATCCTAGGTGAAACGATCTCCATGGACCTCGGCCTGAAGGTCCGCCACCGATTTCAAAATGAGATCTTTGTCAAGATCTTTTCTGCCCCTAAGGTTTAAAGTGATTTGACGTCTCCATGAGGCTAGTTGATGTGACCTATCAACTTTATGTCAACTCAACTTAGGAGAAGTAACTTCCCGCCCACTCTACAGACGTGGCTGATTAACGCCTATGAGCAGACGCCTCATATCGTTCAGATGTATACACGTGTCTCACATCCAACGGCTCTCCTCACCTATAAATACCCAAGGCTTGGCAAGAGGCAAAGGTAATGAAACTCTTTCTACTTAGCACTCCATAGCAAGTAAACATATAGTCTCCTCCCCCCTATTTTGTACAACCTTCATACTGTTCCGATCACCTGAGCCTAATTTGATCGTCGGAGTGTATACGGTCGTCGCCATCCCCGCTGGTTCCGGCCGTGTGCATCTGATCGTGCGTTGATTGTGCGCAAGGAGGAATACGTGGAGTGGCTATAGGTTGGCCACGTGGAGGGTCCAATTTTCGAGGTCAACAGATTGGGACCGTCTGTGGGAAGCCTTCCCGCTCAAAGTTCTACATTCTCCACCCGAGAAAATACCGAAAAACTAGCGACTTACCCTGAAAAGGGCACGTTCTTGAAAATGAACAAAGTCGAGTTATACCTCAAAGCCTCATCACCCTTGAAAAAGGAGATAGAATGAGTTCCAGCCATGAAGACGACAATCCCATGAGAGAGGCCTCTGAAGAAGAGGTGCTCCATGATAATGTCACTCACCAGAGACCCCA